ATGTAAATAACGTTGTCCAGAACTTTTATAGAGCTGGCACACAAAGTCTAATAATGCTGGCAAAATTTTTGTAATGCTATCAATAATCATGTGCCACTACATTAATAAGTAAAAGTTATGTACGTATGTACGTACGTATAATTTGTAATTTTATTAAATAATAACTTAATCGGAACGGTCGAAAACCATTCGGCAGATTTTTTATCAGACGTTTCAGAAATTATGAAAACAGCTGTAAGGTTTTGTAAACTTTGACCCGGCCAGGTATGAGAATCGATTTATTAATTTTATATACCTAATAGTAAAATATTATAAAAAAATATAACTAATAATCGTCTTATTTTACAATATCAACAATTCTTAGCAATAATAAAAAATTAATTGAAATAAATAAAAAAACATCATTTGCTTAATCAATCATATTCTTTGCAAAATCCTATATTTTTGCAATAGCTTTAGATTTAGTGTAAATTATTAAGTCACAAAAAGAATATTTCATAGTAAATCACAAATTGATTTCCTACAGGTTAATAGTGGCTTTCGTACTTTATCAAAACTTCATCTAACGATCTGTAGTCTTAGTATGAAACTAGTAATAAACTAGATTTGCGATTTACTACGAAAAATTCCTATTGGCACCTATAATCCTAGGAAAACTATAATCAATAAGATTTATTAAATATTAATATTAAAACTGAAGAGTTATATGCAATAAATATAATTTTGAGCTTTAACTTTTTCCATGTAAATACACAGAATGTTAACACCATGCGACTAATTTATTAGTCAAAACAGAGACCAATAAGGAACAGCCTATTAACAACTAACCATTTTTTTTAAAAATTTTTTTTACTATTTTATTCTCAAGATTGTAATAACGCTTTAAACAGAATAATATTAAATATTAAAATTGGTTTTAAATATTTTCTAGAATTAGATTTAATGATAATTGAGAAATAGCAGTTAAATTAACGCGAATAAAAAAAAATTAGGTTACTGAATACGAGTAAGTTAATGCAAATTACCGGTAAATCAATGCAAAAAACATTTAGATCAATGCGAATGAAGAAAAAAATTAATTTATTGTGTTAAATTACTGTGAATAAGGAAAAATTAATTTGATAAATTATTGTGAATAAAAAAAAACATGATAAAGAATTAATGTTAATACGAATTAGAAAAAAAAAAAAAGTTGAGAGCAATGACTAATCAGTTGCTTTAAACTAATAGACATTAGAGCTAACTATTCGGATCGACCCTCAGCCGCCCACCTGGCTTATGGGCCGAAATCAACCCGATCATTAAAATTTTTCCAAAAGCTTATTAAAATCTTTAAAATATTATAACATTAAGTTAGTGGATAGTACAATCGCAATGTGTTTAAACTAAAATCTATAAGAAATATTTATTATTAATATAAAACCCATTTTTATTGGATAAAAATTTAAGCTAGACTAGTTAGGCGAGACCGACAAACTTAATTTGGTGGTTTACATTACCAAAAGAGGGGAGAGTGGGAGAAATGGAAAGATACATAGCAAATGTTATTAAAATTTTTTTTCAATCGAAAATTATCGCCTGTCCTTGCTCGTCTTTTATGTTCGTTCATTTTCTCTTCGGAATTTTCGGACCCTAAGAATTTCTAATCTTAATTCCGCCCGGCATTAGCTCTCCGGCCAAAATCATATATGTATATCCGAAAAATTTTTTTTACTAAGAGAGAGGTTGAGGTCAAAAGGGGGTAATGTAAACCACCAAATCAAATTGTTCTGGTCTTAAAAATTGAATGAAATATAGAAAAAATGTACAATGCCAGATCCACTGTATCTTCCGGGATTGAGTTGATTCGACTTTCACAACGTTAGTGCTATGTATGATAAAACAGTTCATGAATAACATTACACTAACGTTAGTAAAGATACTTTATATGGTTTAATACATCGATATCCTATAATAACAAGCTAATTTTTGAACTGATTAGAACATGGTTAGATCATAGAACCAATTTGCTTCACTTGCACTGGTTAGGCCAGAATTAGCCAGTTTTGTATATATGGTGTGACCGAAGTTAAAACTTGCTTGAAGCTGAAATTAGCTCCTTGGATTTAGACTTTCTTGCATTCTATCTTCAAGAACGGCATATACAAGGCGCTCCATGATGTAATTTGAAACGGTAAATTCAGTTTTTGGATTTGGCTTAAACTAAGGAACCAATAAAAATTGATTGGAAAAATTGGAAAGTTTCGAATTATCAATACTATAAAGTTATCACATCTATTGGAAATAAGCCATCTTACAATACCGCTATTTCTTATTTTGAAGATTTTGGATTATCCAATGCTACGATCTATGGCATTCGGTAAAATTCCAAATAGTTCTCATGATATCTGAAATGATCATCCTACGAATTCAATAAATTCTGCAAAACTTTAAAATTGATTTAAGGTAGAAATCAGCAAAAATAGATCTGCCATTTTTGAAGTTGCTAAAACTCTTGATATAAAACAAATGCCATCGTTATGAGCCCGTAGTAACTGGAAAGATCTCAGTTAAGTCGATTATTTACATTCAACTGAAACCAAATCGGTTTTGATGTTCAGCTAAATTACATTAAATTAGTATGACAAAAGCCTCAACTAAGCCTTCCAGCTGATCTGCTGATTACAAATAAACAGAATTACTGTCGATATGTCTTAATGCAATCAGCTTTAAACCAATAGTTTACTAGAAATGCGAAAAATTGTGTTAAAGCTAATTAATTAAGTTAAAAATCTGTTAATGTCGATCAATGATTGCCACTACGAGAATTATTTGTTTTTGCAGCAATTAGAGCAATGCCAATCATTGATCAGTTGTGTAGGTCCGGATAAAAATGTTTTAAGCTTGTCAAAGTATTGTTTAGATGGCTTAGCTTAGCTTGCCGTAACACTAGCTGTAATTTTAGTACTTTCAATGACAGACCGCGCGATCTCTATGTGGAATGAATTATAATAATAAAATGAATATATATAAAGGCATTATTTCTACTAATTTTGATCAAATATTTTGTTTGTACAAAATAAAATATTTCAGCAACAATTTCAACAATTTCAAGTTCCATTTTAAAATTAATTCAGCTCGATCAAAAAACCACATTTTATTTACGATTTACGATTCACGATTCACGTTTCAAAATGTTGAATAATAAACTTTTTTTTTCAATTCTTTTATTTATTTTGATTTCATTTACTGAGGCTATCAACCAAAAACGTCAGGACCACCCGCCACCACATCAAGATTCGCATGATTCAAAGGACCCAAAAGGAGGCATGTGTAATCCCTATCTGCTTACCGCCACTTCCATGGAACAATATATGGGTCAAATGACATTTTACCAAGATAACTCTGGATCGTTATGGTTATCTGGTCTTTATCAAACTGGATTTAATCCTAAAAAAAATGATTATTTCTTTTCAATTGTTGATAGTTGTAATAATAGTCTTTATGATCTTACAAGTTCGATGGGAATAGAGTGGAATAAATGTGATTCATGTTCTAGCAAAAGTCATAGCTCTCACTATAAAAGGGGAAGAAGAAATACGGAGGAAAAGTGTGATGATGAAAATTGGGGTACGATGGGGTGGGTGGTTAAAGTTAATGATTTAACTTGGGATTGTGATGGACGAGGAGTTTATCATCAAGCAGATCATAGTTGTAGAAAGGGTGGAAAACGTGCACTTAGTGATCAAGGGCCAGAAAGTGGATTATATCTTCAAGTTGGTTCTACTGGTGGTTCTTCGACTAATACTCCAATTAATGTTAATAATGAGGGTAATGTAATTGCGCCGCCTCCACCAGACGCAAATCCACCAGCAGCAAATCCACCGGCAGCAAATCCACCAGCACCAGATGCAAATCCACCAGCACCAGATGCAAATCCACCAGCACCAGATGCAAATCCACCAGCACCAGATGCAAATCCACCAGCACCAGATGCCAATCCACCAGCACCAGATGCCAATCCATCACCAAATGCCAATCCATCACCAAATGCCAATCCACCACCAGATGCCAATCCACCACCAGCAACTGAAGCACCAGCGCCAACAGGTGCACCACCGGCGCCATCAGATACGGCAGCTCCAGCTGCAATTCCAACACCAACATCCTAAAATAGTTACTTTCATCTATGGAATGTTAGTTATATTTATTTAATCATACTACTATAGTAGTATCAGTATGTAAAGAAAAAAAAATCAAAATTGGAAGATTATTACCCAAATTTTTAACACGTGAAGTAATTATTAATATTGAATGCTTATGATGGGACAGGAGACCGAAGAAATAATTGGATTTGTGAATTTTTATTATTTTTATTTCTTATTATGTCAATTACTTATTTTTTTATTACTAGAGAAGTGATCGAGTCTTGTGCTAAGAAAAGATTATCACGTGAAAAATGAGATTAAATTGAGATTGATATAAGGCGAAATTTGTGAAATACTGTAAGAAAGGACCCACCATATGTAATTCAATGTAGTGTATATAATTGTATATAAACTATTGCCTTTGACCTTAATAAAGAGTAGATTTCGATCTTTCGAATATGGGTGCAAACTATTTAAGACGTTCTAAACTATGTGATGACTAGTGTCACATGAAGTGGCTTTTTATTGCAAAACAACCGTATGATACTATTCACACAGTTTAGGACGTTCCAAATAGTTTGTCACTATTATTTTAATTTTCTATTTTTACCTTTTTAAGAAATCTAATTTCTTACTATATAGATGTTAAACCTGTCGTTAAATGATGGATAGGATTTAAACATTTTTAATTAATTATATTAAATTTAGTTTTTGATATCGTACACATTTCCACTGTGACATTTATTGTATGTTCACATTTATCGAAGGATTATTTACACTTATATAATACTCCGTAAGTATTCTGGCTCCAATTCACATGTGCAAATATGAATTATTCAATATCCCACTTTTACACTTAACATTGATTTTTTAGTTCAATGATAAAAAAAAAAAATAATAAATTATAAATGTAATACAAAATTAATGGCATTAATTTTTTAATGATATGATGTACCAGACTTTCAGTGCATTGTATTAAAATATTGCTGTGAAATGATCTTTATACTTTTTTAGGTTAATACGTAATACATACATTATTGTAAAGAATTTCAAGCACTATAGTAATTAATTTTTTTATACCTATGTTATGTGCACTTCAATTTGATGCGTAAATTATAAACTGGTTACACCTCTTCGAATATGTTGCTGAGCAAAATATAAAAGAGCTGCGCCAAAGTTCGAATTTTTTTTGGCAACATGCACTAACTACAATATACTTATTTTAACTTTTGATCCCAGGTTTCAACATTCTTGTTTCAACAAAGTTTTGCTTTTGTCATAATAAGACTATTATTGTGTTTGACTGTATTGATTTCCGACTGACTTAGCCTAATATCTAATCAAAAATAAAATAAAATTAGTTATCTAGAACGATACTCTTCCAAATTGATGGTGACACCCGGGATAATTATCATTACATGCCCTTGGAAGACGTGGTTTTACAGTAAAAGGAAATAGGATAAGTGGTCTTAAGTAATTCAAGTAGTTCGCCATTGATTTTTCTATTCAAAAAGGACTACAGGCATAAGTGCAACTACAATTCTATAACAAATGATAGTAAAAGCATGATTTTTAGACATAAATATCAGTGACCGATGCAAATTTGCACAGCTATTCACAAGTTTTTTTATTTTTCATTTTCTTTGTAAGATTTTTTACTGGGTTGATGAAATGATAATCATTGATTATCAAAGAGAAAACAAAAAAATTGCTTACCGTTACATACAGGATTACATTTCACAGATATGACATTAGCATCCA